AACCTCTCCATAACCACCTTCTTCCCTGGGAACCCTTGGGAACCACAGCTCATGGACCCAGGCTTACAGATAAGAATGGTGCTTATAAGCATGTCACCTCATTGAAAAGGAGTCAGAGTGGGATCATAATTTAGGAAGCAAATAAAGGAAATGAACTCCCATTTCAGGGCTCTGGGGAAGGAATGGGATGGGATATGACCAACAACTAGTCATCTCTTTGATTTATGTCTCTAGACACCATGAACCAGGATTACGTGACGGAGAATTTGATCCGAATGAGTGTGGCAGGGCTGATCCTTGTGGCTCTCCTGGCGATATTGGTTGAAGATTGGCACAGCCGTAGGGTGTTACACAAGGAAGATAGGCAAGACTTGGCTGAAACGAGCTGAAGTAAATAGAAGTGTCAGACGGAATGGACCCTTGAACCAGCCTCTAATGGCCATCGGGCAGATACCTGAAAATGAAAGTAGAGATGAGTCAGAACCTGTGGAGTCCTGCAAAGCTCCTTGGAGGACTCAAGGGAGAAAGAGGCACTAAGGAGCTTGGATCCATTTTCAAACCAATCAGATGGTGTTTTCTTATGTGGATCTGCTATTATTTCCATCCCACCTTTCTGGACATTGGTTATAGTTTTCTATCTTCATTCTGATTTTGCATACTCTTTTCATTTTCCTTCTTAGTTTTTCTATTTTCTCACAGTTTTTGAAATGAGTGTCTCCACCACATATAGATAATTGGTAAGCATGATTAAAATATTCGGTAAATCCCCCCTTTATCCTTAAGCTATCTATTTCATTCGTCGATAAAGTGAATGCCATTATTCTGTGAGATTTTTTCCTTTCTTTTTCTCTATTTATATTGGATTTATTTAAACACTAGTATGTGTTTCATCTACTTTTTTTTTTCATTTAATTTTCAGAATAATTGGAAATTTATATAATTTTACCATTCTGGGGCTTAAGATTTCTCACTGTACCCCTGATGTAAGCAGGTTCTGACATGAATCTAGCAGCATGGATGCCCCTGAGGGCTATGTCTTTATCTTCAGACTAGAGTTTATCATTCAGTTAGGTTCCAGTTTCAGGACACTGGTTCATCCACATGAAGAGTTTATAAATATGAGCGATTTTAGAAAATAAATCTTTCATATGAAACTAAGAAGGCATTTTGTATCATTTAATATTGTAAAAATGGCGTGGCAGAGAAGTCTGATGTCCTCTAACTTCATGAGGGGGAAGGAGAATCAAGATCAACAGCCCAAGGCTGATTCCTATGAGGCAGAGGTCAGACATGCCTCCTCTCTCCACCATCTTTACCAGTTCTGACATCAACTGTCCCTCCCACGGCACTCTCTACTTTTCTGCTGGGTTCAGTAATTCATTGCAATGGCCATACAGACAATACTCACAATTATGGGGTTTATTAGGGAAGTAACAGGTTACAACTCAGGTTTAGAAAAGCTCAGTATACAGTTCTTCCTTCAGGACAGCCTCTTCCAAGCCGTGCTCGGAGCCACGCCTCTCCCTGGCCCTCAGCCCCTACTCAAAGGCATTCAGCTTTCTCGCTCCGTGGGCGGGGAAGCCTTCTGCATCATCTCCTGCCAGTCTCTCCTTCCTCGGTGCTGGTGGGATCCTCTCTCTCTCCTGCCTCTGGGATGGTTTACCTCAAGCCCAGTGGGATGGCAAAAACTGACGAATCCCTTTGGTAGGCTACAATTGCTCCATCTGCACAGTCCCACCCAATCACCCAGGTGGGAGTTAAACGAGACGATGGCGAGAAAGGCCACACAAATGTGATCCATCACACCGCAGGTATAATGTTGCCTGTGGCAATAAATAAGTTCCAAATAGCTTTGGCTTCAAAGTAAGATTGCTATTGTTTTTATTGTTGGTTGCCATCAAGTTGATTCTGACTCATGGCGACCTCATGTGTGCAGAGCAGAACTGCTTCATAGGATTTTCAAGGCTGTGAACTTTCAGAAGCAGATCACCAGGCCTGTCTTCCAAGGTGCCTCTGAGTGAGTTCAAACCACCAACCTTCTGGCTAGTAGTCAAGCACTTAACTATTTGCATTACCTAGGGACTCCCAAAGTAAGATTAGGTCCTGAGATTAAGTTCCTGAGATTATGTTCTTTCCCTTAGTCTCACCTTCCATCATTCTGCCTTTAGACCCTGAAGATTCCCTATTATTTTCCAATTATTCCCACTAGGAGGGCCCAGCAACAAAATTCCAGGGCAGTAATAAGTGTGGGGAAGCTTTTAGCAGTGCTGATTCCAAGCCTGGTAACATGGGGTCCAATGAGGGTGAGGATCTAATACCTAGATTTCATCCTGGGAGGCGCCAATGGTTAAGTACTTGACTACTAACCCAAAGGTTGAACCCACCCAGAGGCACCCGGGAAGACAAGAGCCTAGTGATCTGTTTCTGAAAGGCCACAGCCTTGAAAACTTTATGGCGAGCAGTTCCACTCTGACACACATGGTGGCGCCATGGGTCGGCATTGACAGTGACAGCAACAACAGATTTTGCCCAGACAGTGATGTTGGTAAGCTGAACAGGCAAGGCAATGACGATATGGAATGATATGACTGGCCTTAATCAAAGTTAAAATAGGAAATTACGGCTATGTTCTACCATAACCAGATACACTGCGAGTTGCGATAGTGTATTCAAATAAATTCTTTCACACAAAACTTTCTAAATACTTCACCCATTTTTCTTTCATATAAACCTTCCAAGATCCTGTCCATCCTTTAAAGGAAATCTAAATCAGCCATCAAAAACAAACAAAACAAAAAAGCCATTTATGTTGAATTGATTCCGACTCATAGCAATCCCGGAGGACAAAGTAGAACTGTCCCATAGGTTTCCAAGGCTGTAATCTTTACAGAAGCAGATCAGCAGGTCTTTCTCCTACAGAGTCACTGGTGGGTTCGAACCACTGACCTTTTGGTTAGCAGCCGAGCACTTTAACCTACCGTGCTAGCAGGGCTCCTAAATTGGCCGTACATGCCACTGAATACCATTTAATTCATTTGTGAGTTCTTTACTCAGGGTAACTCCATTATAAAAATATGGGGGTCCTACTGCCAGTGACAGTGGAGGTGGTGCTGCCTAGTTTCCTTCTTGTTTACAGAGAGATCAGCTCTACTTGATGAAACTCTCACTGTGGTCTTAGCTTCATTCACTTCCTGTGATTAAAAAAAAAAAAAAAAAAGCAAAGTTTTCTCAGTTCTCCTCGCTGTTTTTTACTTGTTCTGGCTCAGTTCTACAGTTCATCCTGAATTTATCAGCAAAACTGAATATCCTTATGTCTGCCTGCGTATGAGGTGATTTCCAACTCACAGCAAACCCATGTGAGAGAGTAGAACTGCCCCACAGGGTTTCCTAGGCTGTAATCGTTAAATAAGCAGCAGATCGCCCAGGTTTCTTCCCGTGGAGTGGCTGATGCATTCAAACTGCTGACCTTTTGGTTAGCAGCTGAGGGCTTAACCATTGTGCTACCAAGACTCCTTACCAAACTCATAATTAATATAAAACTAGTTTCAGCCTGGTGAAACACCTGACAACTCCAAAAGAATCAAGTGGAAGACACTAGAGCCACGCTACGAGTCCCTGGGTGGCACAAACGGTTAAGCACTAGCTGAAAGGTTGGTAGTTCGAACACACCTAGAGGCACCTCAAAAGACAGGCCTATCGACCTGCTTCCAAAAGGTCAGAGCCTTGAAAACCCTATGGAGCAGTTCTACTCTGCACATATGGGGTCACATAAGTCAGAATCGACTCAGTGGCAACTAACAAGAACATAGCCACACAGAACGATACGCATTGGAATCCTACTGTGATGAACCCTCAATAAAAATGGTAACTCTCACGAGGAAACAAACCACCTCAGAAAGATAATGGTAGGATTAGCACCCTCCAGAATGTAACATCTAGGACTATGAGATGTGTATCTAGATTAGTAAAGTAGTAAGAAGAGAGAGGAAACCATAAGGATAAGGAAACTGAGGCTAGACCCATTCTCCAAAATCTAGACCCACATCCACCTACCACCGTGCTGTGGAAATATTGGCCACATCCTTTGTGGTACCTGGGAGTTGACTCAAATTCCTGGGTGCTGCCTCCCACAAAAATATCACAACTGGGTGGCTTTAAAGAACAGCAATTTATTGTCTCATAGTTTTGAACGCTAGGAGTCTCAATTCAGAGCATCAGTAGGGCTATGCTCTGTCCACTCTAGATCATTCTTTGTGTCTTTCAGTGTCTGGCAGCCTCATAGGATTTCCAAGGCTGTCAATCTTTATGGAAGCTGACTGCCACATCTTTCTCTTGCAGAGGGCTTGATGGTGTGGAACTGCCGACCTTTCAGTTAGCAGCCGAGCGCTTAACCACTGCACCACCAGGGCTCCTAAGATTCTCCACCAGAGCCTTAAAAGAGAACATAGTCCACATGTTAGGCTTCTAACCTACAGAACCACAAGAGAATAAATTTGTGTTGTTTGAAGCCACTAAACCAGCGGTACTTTGCTGCAGCAGCGATAGGAAACTAATAAAAACGAAACCTCTTGCCGTCAGGTCCACTCTGACTTGTGTGTCCTCATGGGTGCTGGAGTACAGCTGCACTCCATAGGGTTTTTTTTTTGTTTTAAATAATATTTTATTGTGTTTAAGGTGAAAGTTCACACAGCAAATTAGGTTCTCATTGAACAATATCTATACAAATTATGCAGTGATATTGGTTACATTTTTCACAATGTGTCAACATTCTCATTTATTCCGTTCTGGTTGTACAGTTGCCAATACTGTAGTTTCCCTACCCTCTTACCTTCTCATCTTTGCTTTAGAGTAATTTTTGACCATTTGGTCTCATATAGATGATTTTTTTTTGACTCCATAGGGTTTTCAATGGCTGACTTTTCAGAAGTAGATTGCCAGGCTTTTCTTTCAAGGCAATTCTGGGTGGATTCAAACCTCCAACCTTTTGGTTAACAGCCAAGTGTGCTAAAAACTGTACTACCCAGGGACTCCTACACTCCATTATTTCAGTGGATAACACAGCTATGACCTTGGCTCTGCTGGCTGCCTCAGCCATGGTCAACATAATCCTTGGATACCAGTAAAGAGTCATTAGTGTCTGTTGTTAGATGAACGTGGGGGCTCTTCTGCCTCCATTTAAGGATGTCTTCTGTCTGTACCATGCGTCTGCCAACAGGAGCACCAGGGCGAAGAAGACCAGGCCAGCCAAGCATTGACGGATGTGATTCTCCGCAGTAGAATTTCAAGTGGTGGGGCCTGGGGAAAGAATGACAGAGGGTGAATACTGTGCTCCTTTGAAAAATCATCTATACGAGACTGAATAGTCAACAATTACTTTAAATCAAAGATGAGAATGTAAGGGGACAGGGAAACAAGATGAAGGGAAACGGAACAACCAGAACAGAAATAATGACAACGTTCACGCACTGTGAAGAATGTAACCAATGTCACTGAACAACTTGTATAAAAATTGTTGAATGGGAACCTAAACTGCTGTGTAAACCTTCACCAAAAACACAGTAAAGTATTAAAAAAAAAAAAAAAAAAAAGAAAGAATGACAGAGGTCATGTTATGGGTTGAATTCCGTCCCCCAAAGTTATGTTGAAGTCCTAACTGTACCTGTAAATGTGACCTTCTTTTGAAAGAGGGTCTTTGAAGATGTTGTCAGTTACATTAACATGAGATCATACTGAAGTAGGGTGGGTCCTGATCCAATCTGAGTGGTGTCCTTATAAAAGAGGAGATACACAGAGACCCACAGAGGGAGGACAGCCATGTAATTTATATATTACATAAAATATGTTATAACATAATGTTCAAATTCTGATGGGGGCAGAGTTGGAATATGGCATCTATAAGCTAAGGATCACTGGCCATCCCCAGAAGCTAGCAGAGAGGCATGAAACAGATTCTTCCCTCAGAAGGTATCACCATGGCCCACACCCTAAAGTGGAATTCCTGAGCTTCAGAACCGTGAGAGAATATGTTTCTGGTCTTACAGCCACTCAGTTTGTGATACTCCGTTACAGCAGGCCCAGGAAACTAATTCAGGCCACTGAGAGATAACAGACCCTTTCTGCTGAAAGCATCCTAAAACTGGAGCCCAGTTCTCCAGTCTACAGGATTGAGCATGTACCCCTCCAGCTCATCCCCTGGAGTGCAGAAAAGACATTACTTGCGTTTCTTTTTATCATCATGGATGATGTGGTAAATCCTTAGGAGAAAGAAAGACAGCAGGTTTACTCTGTTTTAGCCCTGCCTGTTCTTTCCTCGGAGCCGTGGTGGCACAGTGGCTAAATGCTCAGCTGCTAAACCAAAAGGTCAGTGTTTCGGAACTGCCAGCTGCTCTGAGGGAGAAAGATGTGGTGGTCTGTTTCCATAAAGGTTTACAGGCTTGGAAACCCTATGGGGCACTTTTATTCTGTCCTGTAGTATAGCAATGAGTTGGAATTGGCTCCACGGCAATGGGTAATGGTAATACATATATATATATATATGTATATGTTGGTGGTGTTAGGTGCGGTCGAGTTGGTTCCAATTCATAGCTCCCTGTGTACAACAGAACGAAACACTGCTCGGTCCTGTGCCATCCTAACAATTGTTATGCTTGAGCCCATTGTTGGAACCACTGTGTCAATCCATCTCATTGAAGTCTTCCTCTTTTTTGCTGACCCTCTGCTTTACCAAGCATTATGACTGGTCCCTCCTGATAACAAGTCCAAAGTACATAAGATGAAGTCTCGCCATCCTTCCTTCTGAGCAACACTCTGGCTATACTTCTTCTAAGACATATTTGTTTGTTCTTCTGGCAGTCCATGGTATATTCAATATTCTTCGCCAACACCGTAATTCTTCTTCGGTCTTCCTTATTCACTGCCCGGCTTACGCATGCATATGAGGTGATTGAAAATACCATAGCTTGGGTCAGGTGCACCTCAGTCCTCAAAGTGATATCTTTGTTTTCTTAACACTTTAAACGGGTCTTTTGCAGCAGATTTGCCCACTGCAATAAGTCATTTGATTTCCTGACTGCTGCTTCTATGGGTGTTGATTGTGGATCCACATAAAATGGACTCCTTGACACCATCAATCTTTTCTCTGTTTATCACGATGTTGCTTATTGGTCCATTTGTGAGGATTTTTGTTTTATGTTGCGTTGTAATCCATACTGAAGGCTGTGGTCTTTTTGATCTTCATCAATAAGTGCTTCAAGTCCTCTTCACTTTCAGCAAGCAAGGTTGAGTCATCTGCATAATGAAGCTTGTTAATGAGTCTTCCTCCAATCCTGATGCCCCGTTCTTCTTCATATAGTCCAGCTTCTTGGGTTATTTGTTCATCAAACAGATTGAATAGGTATGGTGAAAGGATTCAACCCTGACTCACACTTCTCCTGACTCGGTTAAGATGGGGGTCTTCTAAAAGGTTTCATTCCCCAGATCCCTTTGGAGGCTTTTTTGATTGTTCCCTGGCAGCTAGGGCCATGCAGGTTAGTTTGCATTTGGCTTGTAATCCCTTGTTCTGGTATGGAGCCATAAAGGTTTGAACCTAGGGGATCTCATCCCATTTTTTTTTCTCTTTTGTAAGACAAATCTAGCTGAAAGATGGTATAAAAATTAAGAGTCTCCTTCAAGGACTACTTCTCCTGGTCAGCAAGTATATACTTAGGGCAGGCAGTGTTATAAAAAAAATAAGCTTCTTTCTTTTTAGCTGATCATAAGAGAAAAACTGTCAATGTTTAAGAACGTATCCCAAGGAAGAATCCCCCGGTATGTTTTCTTGGTTTCCTGTTTTGTCCAGTTAATTGTTTTCAAGAGCCTAGTTTTTTACTCTTATGGGTGGTTGAAACCACCAACTCCTTTTGTTTAGCCCACCAGAGATTTATCTGGCATTCCCATGGAAGTCAGGCATTTTCTCAGCTTTGGGAGAGAACTTCCCTTTGGAATCCCAACGCTCCATCTGGAGCGTCTTCAGGACCATGTCACTGAACCCACTGTAGTCTATGAATTAGTTCTCCCCAGACCTCCCTTTTCTTTGACCAATCTATAAATTTTTAAGAATTTCTATACTTATGTTTTAATTCAACCTGAATTTTTTTCTACTAGTTTATGTCTATATACTAAATCAGATCCAGGCAGAGGGATTTCAATCTCCCAATCTAGTCAGATGGAGATATCTATATCTACTCTGAAAACCACAACCAGACCAAGCTGGAGGGGCTTCCGTCTCTCAATCTAGTCAGATAGAGATGTCTACACAACTTCCCAGAACCAGGGTGCACCTACCAAAGACAGACAAACATAGAGAAACCATGTCTGCCTTCTAGCCAAATTGAAAGTAAACTCTCAGAGTCAGAACTCATGGAGCCTGAGGGGTGCTGAACAAAAAAGAGTCTAGGTGGCCACTTTGCCCATCCAGGGAAGGTTCAGTCTGCTCTGGTAGTTGACTCTGGACATTTAATTGGGTCCCATCTGGGTTGCCAGGCAATTTGTTATTGAATGCAATGGGTTCATTGCCTGTACTCTTGTTAAGAATAAGAGTTCATGTGGATTTGAGGCAAGGCATGGTTTATTACTTGCAGCAAGTAAGGTGACAGGGAGATAGCTTTCAAAGCAATGTCTGTCAGAAAAAAGGGCTAGAGGAAGTTTTATACTACTCAGGAAAGGAGAAGTCATACATATTCATTAAATGTCTGGAAATTTCATGCATATTCAAAAAGGGGTGTGGGGTGGGCGTGTAGGCTGCGAACACAACTGGTGACTCTGGAAGAGGCTGCATAGGCCCGGCTCACTATTGTTTCCTCCCCATTGCTAGCCCCCACATTGTCTCATGATCTTGTTTTTCCCTTGGGTTCCAGTGACTACAAAAGGTTTAAGATTAATCGATGTTCCTCCTTGGAGGGTGAAAAACAAGTGATAATGATCTAGGAATGACAAATGGAACAAAGCACCCATCTTGGGACAAGAAAACCAGGATGTCCCCAGATAATCCCTAAGGAAGGATTAACTCATCTGGGATGTGACCACCTCAAGGGGGAACTAACACAAACTTCTAAGACCCATAATCCTGTCCCTATTAAAGGCTTCGGCTGATCTCCAGTTGAGGGATTTTTTTTTTTGGAGGCATCTATTCCCCTCCATCTTCTATATATCGATATATAATAAAACTCTTGCTTCTCACCTCACCCCTGTCTTAGAATTGGCTATTGTGGCAGGCGGCTCCAATCTGCGTTATTGTGGTAACAGCTCAAGATGGCGGCCAGTGTTTCTTTAAGATGGTTCCTCGTGTACATTTGACATCTGTGTGTTCCCAAGAAAATGGCAGTGTATACTGAAAAAACATGGTGACCAAGTTCACCTTCAAGTCACTTATTGTTTTATGGTGCATGTGTCAGGTTTAAGTTGGATTGCCTGAAAAACAACTGCAAACAGGAAGATTAGAAGGAAACAGGGTGGGGTGACTCATTATCTTGGTCTCAAGGTGCTGTTACGGCAATAATGTGGTTTGGAGCAGCCTGCCGCAATAGCCAATTCTGAGACAGGGGTGAGGTGAGCAGCAAGATGTTTATTACATATCGATATATAGGAGACGGAGGGGAATAGATTCCTCCAAAAAACCCTTCTCCCCCACTGGAGATCGGCTGAAGTCTTTTATAGGGACCAGATTATGGATCTTTTGTGGTAGTTTCCCCTTGAGGTGATGATGTCTTAGATGAGTTAACCTTCTACTGGTATTCTTAGAGGTTATCTGGTGACATCTTTGGGGATTATTTTGGGGATTATCTGGCGACATCCTGCTTTTTCTTGTCACAAGATGGGTGCTTTGTTTGGTTTTTCATTCTTAGATCATTATCACTTGTTTTCCACTCTCCAGGGAGGAACATCGGTTAATCTTAAACCTTTTTGTAGAGACTAAAACAGGAGGGAAAAATCACAAGACAATGTGGTGGTTAGCAATGGGGAGTAAATAATAGTGAGCTGGGCCTATGCAGCCTCTTCCAGTGCTGTTTGTATTTGCTTAGAAGTTTTCTATTGACACAGCTTGCCCCTGAGGCCTATCTAGTTCTTAGTTGGTCTCACAATGACCATTTCATTTCTTGACTGCTGCATCCATGGGCTTTGATTATGGATCCAAGTAAGATGACATCCTTGACAACTTTAATCTTTTCTCCCTTTATCATGATGTTGCTTATTGGTCCAGTTGTGAGGATTTTTCTTTTCTTTATGTTGAGGTGTAATCCACACTGAAGGCTGTAGTC